TCATAGGTTTTAAGATACTAAGATACTTTAAGATACGAAGATACTAAGATCCAAACTTAGTTTTATCAACCAAAGATCCTTAAGAGGTAAGACTCTGGAGTTCAAATCTGAGGAAAGACAAGTTACTGATTGCTTTCCAGATATGGATAAATTTACTGAGATTGCAAAGTTCAAAATCTTAGAATTTAGAAATGAAATTCCAAACAGTAAAATCTATTGCATTACCATAAAAGAATAAAAGAGTACCAGACAATGCAAAAGTCCTTTAAAATGCAACATCATTAAACCTACTTAAAAGAGAACCGACTGTTGAAGAAAAAGCATACAGAACAAATTTGTTCTTCAGACACAATAAACCTTTGATCTGAGGGTAACTCAACCCCTCAGAGATACTTATCATGAATAAGTCAGTTATTATAATCACACACAATACAAAACCTTAAAACATGGAAGAACAAAACAAAGCTTAAAATGAGAATAAATATAATGAAGAAAAGAAAGTTAAATACTAAGAAAAATTCTATAAAGCAGAGAGGCTAGAGGAAAAGCCCTGGCCTCTCCCAGTGGAATATCCATGGTGAATAGGAATATCAACCCCGAAACAAGACCCTTGGATTCCAAACTAATTGCTGAGAAGTTTCAGTGATTGGGAAGGGGGTAAGGGGGAGAAGCTAACCCATTATTAAAAGTCTGTTCCCAAATAAAAAGTTTAAAAATTATAAATCAGAACACAGTTATAAATATGAAAATCTTAAAAAGTTTTTGTAGTCAGTACTGAGAATCCGCCTCAACATTTTCAAAAGTTCTTATTACATTCTAGATGTAGTGTTAAGCCCTGTGTTTACATTATTTCATTTCACCCTCATGACAATCCTAGAAGATCATTTAACAGAAGAGATTCGGATATTAAATAGCTTGTTGAAGCAGTGACAGTGATTTTGAACTACACCATCTGTCTCACACAGTTCCCTTTTGAAAGTAGTGTATTATTAATCATACTAAACTCTAAAATCTTCCCCAGGACAAACTTTTGGCGTTGGGGGGGAGGGAGAAGGAGGAAAAACCTCTAAAAGCATCCTAAGAGTAGCACTACTTTCATCGGCCTTATGGATGTATGCTTTTTCTTTCTTTCTTTCTTTCTTTTTTATTTTAAAAGAGGTCTGGTCTCCCTATGTTGCCCAGGCTGGAGTGCAGTGGTTATTCAGAGGCATGATCATAGCTCAATGCAGCCTCAAACTCCAGGACTCAGGTGATCCTCCTGCCTCAGCCTCCTGAATAGCTGGGACTACGGGAATGTGCCACCACACCCAGCCTTGCTGTTTTACTACATCAGAAATGTGGCATTATAACTCAGAAGTCTGCAACAAGAAAAGTCCACAAACTAAGGGAAATCCTTCAGAAATTTTTATAGCAATATGATTATTACAATTATAGGAGTAATTTTATGTCAGTTGAGTCTAATAACAGGACATTTGGATTGTATTTTGTATGTCTTTTTTCACTTCATTTTTCTAGTATTTCATTTTTACAAATGTATTGGTCTGGATTGAAATAAAAATTACAAGCAAAAACTGGTCCTTTATCAGATAGTTTGAGGAACATTGCTCTAGAGCTCTGATGCAAACACAGCTTGTTCTCTGTTACCAGCTCTATGACAAAGAGGAGAGACATGCTGAGGTAAATAACAATCCTCATTTTTATTCTAATAGCTCAAAATGCATTGCTCCTGCTGTACTTATAAACAGATATTATGAATGCTGATTTATAGCATTTTAAGACTTACAACTGTAAAAGCCAACTTGACTGTCAATTTAGAAAGTCACAAATGACATGACACACTAATTATCTTTATTAATGGCCCAGTTAATAACACCACTCATGCAAATATTTCCTTTCAGGGAAAAGGAAAATAGCATATATCTGCATATTGCAATAATCATTCAAGACAGTTTGTGAAAATACTGAAACTGGAAAAAATTCTAAGCATGTTATACAAATAAAAAGTCTTACGGGTTGCTTATTTGAATTAATTTTAGTTCTTCATAAATGTTACCTCAGTGATTCTTTAAATATACAGACTAACCCAAATCTCACAAATGTCATCCCTAATAACATCGATTCAATTCTAATGTAGTTAGAAGAAAACATGGTTATGTCAGGCTCACAAAGTACTGGGCAGGCAGGTAACTCAAATGAGCGAAGGAGGCTTCCACAGACCTAGGAGGACTGACAGCTGCTACTCAGCTCTACCCAACTGCTGCCTTGAGGGAATAAGCAGTTGCAAAAAGCACTAATAATTATAAAATTAAACATTCTGCTAATCTAACAAGTCAGTTTGTGGGCTAGATTTTGTACATGTACCAAGAACCTTTGTTGAAATGAAGAGTGGCTGAGAACTGGTCTGAGTCAGAAAAACCTAGATTTAAAAAACACTTCTGATTCTACTGTATTTCATGAACTTGTCCAAGTTCGACAGTCTGAGTCTCAGTTTCCTCATCTGTACATGAGCTTTTTACATGAAGTTAGGTAATGTACGTAATTTTTTAAAAATGTTATCATTAGATGCTGAGGGGTGCAGATAGAAAAGGAAACGGAAAAGGAGCAGCAACAATACAAGCAATCTGGCTATGGGCTTTACTTTTCCTCAAACTTAACAATGCATCGTGTGATCCTTTCTTTCCCACCGACAGGCTGTTTTCTTCACTTGTAATGCCTCACCTTCCTCAAGTTTCTTCAAGGCCTACTTCATACCTTATTTACACTTTTCCTTTCTACTTCAGCACATTCTACTCTCCCCTTCCCTTTGAAAGTACTTTCAGGACTGGTATTGAGGTTAGATAGGTCCTATTTTACTGCTGAACTCTAGGACAAACTCATGAATTCTTGTTTCCTATGAATGGAGTAGTTTTCTCCCCTAAATCTTTGAGTACCGTGCACTTGGTGAACTCTATGCCTATCTAAAGAACCTATCTGCATTTTCATCAAACAGGCTTTCATCTATCCTTCCTTGAACAAACTTTAATAGGGGGTGGAGGCGAAGAAGGATAGATGAAGGCCTGTTTGATTAATCAAATCAAATTTAGTATATCAAAATATGCTTCTAAGCAAATAGATTTGAAAACTTCAGAATATCTATTACAATGATCTTCTTTAAAAGAAAATGTGAATTAAGAACAACCTAACATAGTTTTTTCCCTACATTCATTCTAGTGCAGGCATCCAAAAAAAAAGCACAAAAAAAAAAAAACCCTTAGCTTTTCTCAAAAAGATATGCTTCATTTTCTCAAAGAGAAATTATATTGATTTCAACTCATATGGACAAATAACATTCTCCATTTATTTT